ACCGGATTGGGCTTTTTTCCCAAGAAAAATTATCAATTCATGGGTGATTGTATAGTCTTACGTATTTAGGCATTCGGAATATAAGGGAAAGACGTTTTTACCCTCCCCTTCTCACATCCTCAACATTTGTTATATCTCTCTCCTCTCACCTCTGTTATCTTTCTCTCGTCCAAGCCAAATTTTCTTTTAGCTACACAAAATCAAACGAAACTTTGAGCTTTGAGCTAATCTAGAAAGAGATTTTCACTACGATTTCGATCCATAATTTTGAGGAGTAAAATTCATATAGATCTGGGCCACAAATAAGATATCGATCATGTGAATGAGATGGTGATGACGATGATGAGATCCGATGAACAAGATTGTAGTGACGATAATTAAATCTCCGATGAGATTCAATAACGATGACGATGGTGAGCTCCGGATTGATTATGGTGGCGATCGCCGTCAAAAGCTTCAATCGTCTCGCCGTCAAAAGCTTCAATCGTCTCGCTTGAGTTTCTTCAAGATTTGTCAATTACAAACATGTAATTTTCAATTTGGTATAGATTTAAATATGAATTGGAAGTTTAAATTTGATAAGTGTTTATGATAGGAGCCCTTGGGTTTACTAAATATTATCCTAGGGTTTAGTTTTCTTCTTCAAAAAGCAGTAATGGTTGTGGCCGGAAAATCAAATCGTCATCGGAGAAATACAGTTGTGATCGTAGAAGAAGAAGCAATGAGTAGATTGTACAAAAGACAAGGGTAAATTGGTATAACACTTATTTGAGAAAAGCCTAAAACGTGAAGGCCTGATACTCGTTCTATTTCTCAAATTTTTAGGCCAAAAAATGCCCAAATCAGCAATATTCCCTTGAATCAATTCTTCAACACGACCGGGTTTAAAAAATTTAGATTAATAGATTTTTTATTGTTTTGGAAATAAATAATGTTGACAAAACTAATATTTGTTTTCGGTGTGCCCATATTATACGTCTTCATGTCCTATTCTCTAACGGCCAATCATATTGTGTAT